CATGATTGCACATTGGATTGTTACAACAGTTCCACGCCTTCGCCTGCCTAGGTAACTGTAACACTACACAATGGATAGTAAAAATTTACAACAAATAAAAAAAGATAATCCAACATCAATAAAATTACCATGATTGGTTTGAGAATTACTACTTTCAACAATCAAGTCAGTAGAATCAGACGAGTGAATATGATTTGGCCAGGAATTGTACGCTTTTGTTTTGCGTTCTTTCCAAATTTGCGCCAAAACATCCTATGAAATAAATAAACAAAGAATAAGAATAACACAACTGTCAAAAAAATAAATAACCACACACACACACACCAAATGTTTGAAGAGGATTATTATGATGATGATGATTTAGTAAGCATAACAAACCAAAAGTGAAAAATTGGTTTATAAATTCATCATACAAATATATCAAGTAGGAGACAGACAAGAAGAACTCACGATTGACGGTTTATCATCATAAAATCCTAAGCACACTGTATTTGGACGCATTGCACCCAGACCGGATATTCGAATCAGATGAGATATAGCTCTGCGTATATTTCTATCAATGGTTATCTCGACGAATGCTTTAGTTTTCAAATACTTCACATATTGTGTCCAATACCTGAGCATAGAAAGTAAACACAACCCGATAAGTTATTCTAGTTGCTTTTTCAAAGTAATGCATAAAATAATTGAATTAAATCCACGTAGAAACTGACTTTATTACATCTACCTGAAAATAAGAAATTTTCGGCTAGAAAAATCAACTTCTGAAAGTTTGCAATCACTGTGTGCATGCAATTAGCAGAAAACAACAGTTACTATAAAAAAAGCAGCATCTACACAAGAACTTTGAACAGGATTAGGACAGATAATAACATGCACCCTTATTCACAACTATTCTACCAAGTGACATGATGAGACCTATTTGGAAACCCAACTACTCTGTTGATAAACTCATAACTCAGTTGAATCTAAGCATTGCGTAATTTTAAGGAATATTCCGAAAAGTAACATTTTTCACATCACATGAGAAGGTTTTATGAACAATTAACATTAGTGGGGAATATCCGAATCTTGTTCTTTACACTGCGGAGTTCAGAAGATTTTCAAACTGACTTCAGAGTGATGAAGGTTTGCTTCGCCTACCCCATCATCTCTATGTTCACTTGAAGTCTTGTCTTTGCTGCCAGCTTCTTCTGCCAACTTGTTGGTTTCCCCGCCTGTAAGTCTTCGAGTTTGTGTGACATTAAACATAAATCGTCGGCAAAGTTAACATCTTCTAGATTCTTCACATCGGTCCAACGTATTCCTGTCTTCTAACCCCCAGAGGTCTGCAATATGATTCATTCCACCACAATTGAGAGATCATGGTTGATATCCAGCCGCCTTTTCTTACCCCTCTATTCACTTCAAAGGCATCGCTGAGTTTTCCGTTCTGAATCACTTAGAATGTGGCATCATCATCACACAGCTGTGGAATGAGGTTCATACAGATTTAGGGGACTACACTCCGTAGTATTGAAGTAGTTTCCAAATTACTTCTCCGTTAACGCTGTTGAAAGTCTTCTCAAAGTAGATGAAATTGAGTTGGAGATTCAACTGCCATTCTATGCTCTGTTCAATGATGATGCGCACAACTGCAATTCGACCAGCACATGATTTCCTTTCCTGAATCCAGGTTGTTCCCGTTGGCGGAGTCCTACCTCCAGTGCATCTTTTATTCTCTACAGGATGATGCGATTTAGTATTTCACTTGGAGTGGACAAGAGCATGATTCCATGCCAGTTCTTGCAGAAGCTTACGTCTTCCTTTTGTGGTGGTTCAACAAGGTAGCCTTTCTTCCAATCATTAGGTGCCTTTCCTTCCTTTCAAACGTTTTGCAATAGTGATGTCAGCATATGCACTGCGGTCTTTGGGTCCGTTCTCACTGCTTCCGTCTGATCCTGCTGCCTTCCTGGACTTCAGCAACTTGACGACATTCAGGATCTCTTGGTTACAGGATTTCATCATCAGCTGACATCGGTTAGAGAACCATTGGAAAACCAGCTGGGAATACTGGACATCTGTTTCGTCCTAGTTTGGGACCCTTCATCAGTATGCACTCACCGGATTTCAAACCAAGGACCTCCCGGTTACAAGGCGAGCTCGTAGACCAATAAACCATAGACACCCGACACAATGTCTGTACCCTATTGGTCACGACTTCTCACTAGAACCCAGGTAACTACTTACCTGAATAGGGCCAGTCTCTAGTCTCAAACTAGGACGTAACAGATGTCCATTACTCCCAGGTTTTTCTACAGTTCTCTAACCGATATCAACTCATGATAAAATTCTACAAATTAATCGAATCAAATCCCTGCAAACCAACACATCAAGATTTCTGTTTTTTATGGAGGGTTGGTGTCAAGTGGCAGTAAAGTGCCCGCTTTCGGTAAAATTTTGAAACGAGTTGCTGGTGACGAATGATTAAGGTGCCCTTTGAAGTGATCATTCCATCGTTGTCTTTGTTTCTTCTCTTTGGTAATTAGGTTCCCTTGACCATCTTTTACTGGTTTCATCAGATAGAAACAGGAAGTATTTTGAAATTCAATTTTTTCTATATCACATCTTTGGAATGTTTCATTTCTACGGTTGTTAGAACTAGCTGCAGCAAAGGGTAAAAACAGATAACATGCTTTTGACTATAAGTGTCACCAGAAAGTTGCTCTTATATCTAAATAACAAAGTTGGATGGTACTGAGGTTGAATGTACAGACATAAGAAAAGAAATTTAATTATTTGAAGCTGCGAATCAAACACATCAGACCACAACCCATGTAAAACACCAGTGCTGCTTAAATTATAGACGGAGCAAGAAGTTAGGAGTGGATACACCAGAACATAATACGAATCCACGAATTTTATGATCATTGATCTGACCCACGTATGGAGGAACACGTTATCTAAAAGAGTTCCCTAGGATGTTGAGAATTAAAAGCTTCAACCTGCCGATGATGTAGCTTAAAATCATCTGCTTAGCTTTTAGGAATTAAGAACGTATTCATTGAGTTAGTCAGTTTCTAATTTATTTGTTATTTATTGTTTCCTTTAATTCCTAGAGGAACATAGGGCTTCAGCCGCGCGTCTCCATTGCGTTCGGTTCTCTGCTAGAGTCTTCACCTGGCTCCAAGTCTGCCCACACGTTTTCATCTCCTCTTCACATGACCTCCTCCAAGTCACCCTTGCACTGACGACCAACTCGTCACTTCCCTTTCGGGTTCCACTCGAGCAATGGCTTGTCTAGTGATGTCACTTGATGGTTTCCTCAGAGTATGGTCAATCCATCTCCATTTCTTCCTGCTTATTTGTTTCACAATCGGTTCCTGGTTGGTTCGCTCATTGCCAGAGATCCCTTCTGTTGCTGATCTTTTCTGGCTGGCCATCTGATCTTGAGTATTGAGCGAAGACAACTGTCAATGAAGGTCTGTAGTTTGTTTGAGATGCTCTTTATGACGCGCAGTGCAAGTCTCTGATCCGTATAGTAGCACTGACTGACTTCACATTGGAGTTGAAAATCCGGATCTTATTTTATCATGCTGAGTGCTGTTGACCTCCACACAGACTTGAGAGTAGTGAAAGCTTGTCTTGCTTTTCCGATTCTTGCTTTGATATCCTCGTCAGTTCCGTCTGCCTGTAGTTGAAACGATGCTTCCCAGGTAGGTAAAAGAGGTTGTTTCTTTCAGGTTCCTCCTATTTATGCTGATCGTTGTCTGTTGTTGTTGTTCTTGTCCAGGAATCTTCATCACCTCTGTTTTATCTATGTTCACCTGAAGTCCTATCTTCTCTGGATGCTTCTTCTGCCAACTTGTTGCTTTTCACTTGCATATCTTCCAGTTTGTGAGAAATCAGACATATATCATCGGCGAAGTCCAGATCCTCCAAGATTTTGTGTGAGTCCATTTTATGCCTGTTTCCTCATTGCCCACTGTTTGTCGCATTATCCAGTCTACTGCAATCAGGAAAATCATTGGCAATAGTAAGCAGCCTTGTCTTACTCCTGTCCTCACTTCGAAGGATTCCGTAAGTTTCCCGTTGTGGATTACTTGGTATGCAGCATTGTCGTACAGCTGTTGGATGAGATGTATAATTGTCGGTGGCACCCCGTAGTAGCGAAGTAGTTGCCAAAGCACCTCTCGATCGACGCTGTCGAACGCCTTTTCAAAGTCGATGAAGTTGAGATAGAGAGGTGACTGCCATTCCAAGCTTTGTTCAATGATGATCCGTAATGTGGCGATCTGATCAATGCATGACTTGTTTCTCCTGAATCCAGCCTGTTCCCGTCGAACTTTTTCATCTAATAACACCCAAGATTATATAGTGTATTATTATTATTATATGCGGGAACTAGTAAACAAAACTAGTGCACATCGATGCATGATCACATGTTCATCTATGCGTCTGAAAACAAACGTCTTTAATCCTCCTCCCATTTAATTAATTAACTAATTAATTCGATTGGATGTTGATATAAGAGTATAGTAACAAAAGTGATGAGTGGTCACAAATGATTGTTAAAGAAGAGTTACGTAATAACGTGAATAGTTTGATGAAATAGTTGTGCTCAGGGTGAACATGGAAACAAAATAACATACGGAATAACGCAAGGGTTTTAAGTAGTTAGAAAAATAAGCATACCAACAAAAGTTAAGTTATTTTGTTTCCATGTCCACCCTGAGCACAACTCTTTCATCAAACTATTCACGTTATTACGTAACTCTTCTTTAGCAATCATTTGTGACAACTCATCACTTTTGTTACTACCCTCTTATATCAACATCGAATTCATCTGAACTTACTAATTGTATTTTCGTTTGACAAATTTAATGTACACACACACACACATACAAAACAACCATATGTATATTTGCGATTGTACAGCTATGAAAATGAACAAGAATATTTGAAACTAACCATCGCTGATTTAAACATGGATCTGTTTGGTCTGCAAACTCATCTGGATTTCCATATATTGCATGACCAACCACATATAGACCGCCTTTTTTTAAACCATTCATAAATTGGACAAGAGAAGCTGATGAACGTGGATTTGCCACCAATAATAGTAGTTGAAGCCTCCAATATTTTACATGGTCCTTACGTGAATCCAACAATAATAAATACTTACGGATCTGAGGGAGATAAAAAAAAAAAGAGAAAGAAGATATTCATGCAGTAATTCGAAGAGTGTAATGAAAAAATGTCTCAATAGAAAATGACGGTGGGTAGACTCTGATCTATCCATAGAAATGTTCGCATATGGCCACATGTTCCTTGCTTCTGTAAAGTTTCATTTACTACCTTCACAAGTAGGAAGGTGTTTTCGCAAAAGTGAATCATATCAACTTGATATGATTATGAGCAATAGCTTGTGCTCGAAACGTCATCAGTTAATATTACTGTACAACACTGTGTGATTTATCAAAATAAAATCTTATCCATTATAGAGTTGGAAAACGCTGATTGCAAGCCTAAAGTCCCGTGAACTCCACAGAGTCCGAGCAAGACGAATGGTGTTCGAACATGTTTAGGCTACTGGTTGCTCTACTGTCCTGTGAGTTAGACTCTTAACGTCAAGTGTTGGCTGAGTGGCTCCGTTATGAAAACCACTTGTTAAGGTTTGAGCCTCCGATTTTTGTCTCAGTGCATCAACAAATCAAGGAACAACGATCAATGGGAAATTCTACTTGTATGAAAAGTATCAACCAGAGATACAGCAATTTAATCCTTATATTACTAGAGTTCACTTTTTATGTATAAACCACTTAGTTCTTTTTTGTTGTTGTGCTCTTTACGTTTTCTAGGTATCATCAATTTCGTCAGCTGTTTGCAACTGTTTGAAATTTCAGTCGCACCGTACTGTTTTGAGATACTAGTTAATTAATTGCTTTCAGTACAGCTTTGATGCGAAGTTACAAAATGAGTTTCTCTTTATTTTGATTTGACACTAGTAACTAGTGTGATGCGTCTAGTCCTCTCTTTGGTGCAGACTGAATTCTATCAGTCAGGTTGTAATGTGGCCACCATTCTAGGTAGCTCGCCAACACGGTGTACATTGTTTGTGCTGATATTAGATGGTTGGAGGCAATCGGCAGGAAGCCTTCGACCTAGGTTTCGTGCTGGTTGGCACTCACCAGTCAGCAAGGCGTATCTGCAACCTTGAAGGAACTCATGCCCCTTCTGAGATTCGAACCCGCGTCACCCAGTGCTGCAGTCAGAGACGTTACCACTGAGCTATTCGGGCTCGCGATTGACCTCCTGTAGGACTGTAGTGGATATTTTGATTTGACACTGCCGATTGCCTCCAACCATCTAATATCATCACAAACAATGTACACCGTGATGGCTAGCCACCTAGAATGGTGGCCACATTACAACCTGACTGATAGAATTCAGTCTGCACCGAAGAAAGGACTAGATAAACCACACTAGTTACTAGTGTCAAATCAAAATATCCACTACGGTCCTACAGGAGGTAAATCGCGAGCCCGAATAGCTCAGTGGTAACGTCTCTGACTGCAGCACTGGGTGACACATGTTCCAATCTCAGAAGGGACATCAGTTCCTTCAAGGTTGCAGATACGCCTTGCTGACGACTGCCAACTAGCACGAAACCTAGGTCGAAGGCTTCCTGCCGATTGCCTCCAACCATCTAATATCAGCACAAACGAGTTTGTCTTTCTTAGACTCTGCAGTTGTACTCTTCCAGTAGCACAATGTCAGTGACGGATTTTGAGAAAGTGGTTTAAAAAAAAAGAAACAGTCTACCATCAATCTTCCAATTTTCATTGATTATTACTGAATATCTGTCTAATCCAAGGAGAAACTTCTTGAAAGCTGACAATATATACATTAGAGCGATTCAGATATTCTAAGTGGCAGATATCTGGTCACTTTTTTTCACAGAGAAATATACAAAAGACTTTAGACTTGTCAATCAATGTTAGTGATAGACTCTTCGTTTAAAAAACACCCCCCAAAAAAAGTGTTAGCTAAAATTCAAACTAGACTAAACAATGATTCGCGTCATATAGATAATAATAATTAATAACAGACAGGTATAAAGAGTTTTATGCATTCAGTTACCTGATGAAACAACAACGCTTGTCCAATATTACCCCATGAAGATTCTAAGTGCCGTTGATACAGAGAAAACACCAACAGGCCCAAAACAATAATTGCAATGACAGTGTATACGGGCTGAATTAACAGACACATAATTACACAGCCAATCATTCCAATGATTGAAGTAATCCAATTAAAATAGCGAAACGTGGGTCTAGGAAAATGAAGAAACATAGGGAGAGAAAATTGTGGCGCTCTCAGGAGTTGTCATTACATGAAAGGAAGTCTTTAAAAGCGAGTGGAACAAGGCTACAAATAGCACATCCTCATTTCACCTCGTTATCTGAAGTCTATTGTTGGCTGGCTCTACGATTGATTGCCTATAATAAGCTTTTACCTGCTTGACACACTATTTCCTTTACGTCATCATCGAATCGTCGTTTCCCATTCGTGTTCCGATAGCCTATGATTATCTATCTACTGATGGTGTACATTCGATGTCTCGGTCTACATGATTTCGCCTATTAGACTCAAATGGCAATTGTTATCATTCTCTGCTCAGATTTCTTTTACAGTTTCTTTTTTTCAATTACACGTAAACTAAAACTGACTTTCCAGAGACGTCGGTCTATGTATCAGTTGTATCTGTTTATGAATAATATTATGCAACTATAGCATAAATTTTCGGCGTCATTTTCAGCTGATATCAAATTTATGATACAAACGATGACTACCACACAAAAAGATATACACTGAATTCCGAAATTTCAGAAAAAAAAGACAGTTGCAGAGCTTACTTACTTCAAGAATAAGCTTTATATGCATATAGTTTACTGACTTACCTGAAATTAGGCGCAGAAGCAGCATCTAGACCAGCACAAGCTAAATTGACAGCAGCATACGCCAGTAGAAATAGGACAGAGACAAGTGGTGCAATAGCGTTCAATCTACCAATAAGCAAGATTAGCTATAAAATGTTTATCAAAAGAAATAAGACGAATAGACCTGAAGTTGTTGTAGAAAATAAAAAAGTATGTATGTGTCTGTTAGACATTAAAAACACAAAATTATTTTCAGCTATACAGTTCGTAGGTAAGATTTCTTTTAAAAAAACATTAGACATTGAAATGTGCTTACTTATAAGTAGTATACGGCTATACACTCAAATATCACGATAGAAAGGCAATGAAAATCATTAATTAATCGGTGAATGCAAGCAGATTTGTTTAAATGAACAGGAGATTTCTAAATCTGAAAGAAATTCGCAAACAAGTGTGTAGAGTGTTTCATATTTAGACTGGAGTTTGGTTTCAGTGACCGCCTCCTAATTACAAACTTTACTCAAAGGTGATATTTTTGAAGAATACTTAGCTTCTTATTTAAATATATATGAAATCCTGAAACCAATCGAATTCCTGCAAACCAACACTTCAATATCAATCTGATGCTCACTAGTGACTGACCCTGTTCAGGTTGGTTCTAGTGGGAATTCGTGACCAGTGGGGTACAGCAGGTCGGGGGAAAGTACAGCCGATGACATTAGCTGGTGGTCGCGCAATATCGTGAATTGGCAGAAGTTGGAATTCATGGACCATTGGATCGGTTCCCAGTAGTGGCTTAATGGTCTATGAGCTCACCTTGTAACCGGAAGGTCCTGGGTCCACACCCTAGTTCGTGCGTAACAATGGAGAGTCCCAAACTGGGACGAAACAGCTGTCGAATACTACCAGGTTTTCCAATCGTCCTCCAACCAATGTCAATTCATGATAAAATCCTGAAACCAATCAAATCTCTGCGAATCAACACTTAAATATATTAGTTTACATTCTTTTTCAGTGATAGTGTATCTTGGATAAAAGTTTTTTTTTGCTGAAACTCCTACAGGGAACAGAAGGTTGAATATCAAGTGGATTAACAATATACATACATTACATGGACAATTGTTGAGGTGTCTCAAAGAGAACTAAACACGAGTCCGGAATGCCCACTACCAGCCACCATTCACTATACAAGTAACTGCATAAGCATATCTCTCGCTAATCTTAATTTGAATATTCTTCTTCTGATAATTTTGTACACAACACAATTTAGAAGAGTTTTTAGTCTACACATATAACAGGATATAGAACCAATTTAACTCCTGCGATGACAGCTTTCTTATACATCACTTGGTCATGAGAACCTGGTCGAATTCAATACTCGTCTGGACAAAACCCTAGACTTGATTTTCATAAACGACCACGACATATACGAGGTGCGAAGGAGAGCTCCATTGCTGAATTCTGACCACTGCATCATTCGTATTTTACCGAAAGTGTCTGTCAAGTTACACAGAAGGGCCAAAGAAAATCCAAGAACTATCCTATTCACATGACAATATTCAAGCACTAAGATGTATGTTGCATGATACTGACTGCGACCTATTCTTTGATGAAGTGTCAGACTTCACTATCTCTAATATCATCTCCTATCTCAAGTTCTGTTTGGACATTTGCTGTTCTACTGAAACACTGAACACGAGATTCGATAGAATCTCTTCTCCACAAATAAAAAAGCTTAGGAAAGAAAAACTGTATAAATAACATGATAACGCAGGTGTTCAAACAATATACTCTTTGATAAAGTCTGAAATACAAAGACTAAATGGGATATATAATGGAAATTTTTTATCCTGTAAGAATGCTTCTAACATCTGGAAACCTTTTAATCAATTTACAAGTGAAAAAAATAATTTCAGTTGATGTTTATCCTGATGTGTAAATGCCTCAAATAGATCTGTTATAATGCAACAAGCTAATATGACTGCATGTGATATTTCTATCCACATAAATGATCATTTTTTCTGGTTTTAATGAATAGGATATAATTTCACGTCTTAAATCCATCACAAAGCCTAAAAGCAGATGGTGCACCAAGTGTTTTGCCTCAAAAGTATGCTGACAGTTTATGTTATCCTCTTACCCATGTCTTTAATGCATTGTTTCACATGGATACAGTTCCTGTTGCCTGGATGGAAATAACGGTGGTGCCTGTACCAAAGTCATATTCTGGATCAGGTGTAAACGTTAGGCCAATCGCCATACGTCTCCATTTTTGAAAACTATGGAGAAACTTCACTTGCAAATTCTTAAACCTTCTTAGAAATCTTTTAATGATCCAAAGCAGTTTGTGCTTACAATTGCAGTAGAAGCACATTAAATGCTGTCGGTGTACTCTACCACAATATTCTCTCACGTCTTGATAAAGGTGCAAAGTTTGTTCGAGCCTCCTTTCTAGAATACAGTGCTGCTTTTGACTCTATTCCTAGGGCAATTTCGCTAAGTAACCTGATGTCAGCAAACACTGAATCCAGGGTCACAAGATGGATGTCTTCTCATTTTTTCGGGTAAAAAACAGCATACTGTTTTGAATGGAAGGCACTCCACTTCATTGCTAACGGAAACTGGTGTGCCTCAAGGTGCTGTACTCTATCCATTCCTTTTTCCTTATTTTTGCATAACCTTCCGTGTTCTTCCAAAGCTAACTTTGTTAAATATACCGATGATCTTACCATTTCTATCACAGTAGTTTCTGCTTAGGATTGTTCTTATATGAATAAATTCTTGTCTGAAGTTAACAAATGGTCTCACCTACTAAATTGGTCTTAAACTGAATCCATCCAGATGTCATATTGCTGATGTTAGTTTCCGATGCGAACAAGACTTGCGTGGACTGATTCAGTCGCACGATTCCTGTAATATTGACGGCAATGTGATAGGGAGTAAATAGAATATCTCTCTTCTCGGTATCAGATAATCTTCGAATCTCTGTTGATCGCCTCACATCCTGTTGATTTCTAAGAACAATTTTCGTCTAACTAATTACATGAAGAAGTTGAGACTGCCTGCTGGCATAACTCAACCTCTTCTCTTACAATTTGTTAATTCATGTACTCTACCTATTCTCTTTTGTTGTTCGCCATTATTCCTCCCTGGACTTCCCAAAAAAGACTTTGTCATATTACGAAGAACACTGAAGACCATAAATACGGTTAGTGGTGTGCCTTTGACTCAGCTGACTGACATTATTGTCAATAGGCACTTCAATTCTTGCAAACAGTTAGCTAAATTTATCTTATCTGATACTGAACATCCTCTTTATTCTCAACTTTCTCCTTGTATCTCTTCGGGTAAAGCCAGAAGAAACTTTATAAGAATTTATGCCCGTACAACAAAATATGAAAATCCTACCATACTATATTTAGAACGGGTTTTGTGTAAAGAGTCAGATGTTAGAAAAGAACTTATAAACTTTTTAAATCAGTAACTTGAACTGCAAAGTATAAGCAAAGATTATTATTGCTACATGTATTATCTAGGCCTCCAAAAGCCTCAGGATGGTCGGGGGTGGGTGCCTTGCGCTGAGGGTTGGCCACCCCATATGACCGGGCCTCCTGAGGAAGTCCTACTCACTGCCTTCACGTGGCGGAGGTGTTTTTCACCAAAGTGAGAGGGCGAAAGCGGATGCCCGGCGCTCTTCACCGGGTTGACTGTCCATTGGATGACAGTCAAGGGGAGATGGCTAAACCCTGATTCCAAACCTCCAATGACTGGCGTATGAAGCTCACTGGAGCTCACCGGCAGACGTATGGACAAAGGGCTTGTTGGATGTCCTGGATGTCTGGCCCCATTCTAAAAGGCGTATGAACCGAACTCCGGTCACCGGCTGCCAATGGATAGTGGACTCCCTACTCCACTCCTACTGCCTTGTAGGTCACACTTGGTTGTGTAAAGGCTAGAGCTGCACTCTCAAACAAAAGGCCGAGCGATTCTGGGGACATCACTCGTACCAAATTCCCATGAAACTTCATGAACTCTCTTACTTGGCGATGTCGCAGGGGTGGACAGCTGAAAACATGGCTTGGTACAGTCAAGGCTGATATGGAGTGCCTGGGGCTACAAACCATCAACGAACTCCGTCTGTGGAACAAGAATTGGATAACCCTGTTGCATCAGATCGCCGCGCCTGGGCAGCGATGATTCGAGATGTTCATGAAGCCGGCTCATCCTCCCGTAGGAGATAACCGAAGTAAAGTAAAGTAAGTAAGTATGATACTATCTACTCATACTTCATTATTTTTTCACCGAAATTTTGCTTGTAATGGTTTCTTTATTAATATTATAAATGACAAGTATGGACATATTTATATAAAAAGGCACTAAATTGTCGCAATATGTGTAAAAACGCTGAAAATTCTATTCTGTATGATTATCATTGCTTGGAATATTATTAAATTGAATATTCCCATAATTTATTCAGAACAAAATATTTAGAGCGAACAATTGTTTTCCATAAATTCTTCTTCAGGCTCTACAACTATTATTGTCGATACGTACATGATACCTTTATCGTTTGTGATAGAAATCTTAACAAACAAGAGCTTCTGAATGCTGTTAATATTGTTCAACCAGCTATTCAGTTTACATGTGAAGAAGAAGAAGACAATAACAGTTTACCTTTCCTAGATGTCCTCTTCCTTACCATGAAGACAGATGGATATCTACAAAGGAAATTATTTAGAAAGAAAACTTGGACGGGTCAATACACCCATTTTCATAGCTTCACACCGATTCAATACAAAAGAAACTTAGTTAAGTGTCTTAGCTATACAATAAAACGCATATGCTCAGAGGAATGCATTAAGGAAGAAATGTGTAAACTGAAACTTACACTGCAAGAAAATGGATATCCAGAGAACTTCCTAAAAAAGTATATGTCAATACCTAGAGACAGGGTAAAGGTGGATACCGTAGACAAGAAACCTTTGTATCTTAAGTTACAAAGGGGAAATTGCAGCTGAAATTCTAAAATGTCGACTTAATAGAGCAGTAAAGAGAACATTTCCGGCAGCTAAACTGGTACTCAACTTCTCAATTAAACCAGTACTCACACAAAAAGTCAAGGATAAATTACCAATGTGTATCTATGAATTCAACGGCTCATGTGGAGCTAGTTACATTGGCCGTACTCAAAGGGCTTTATCCATGTGCGCGCGTGAATAAAGGGGTAACCAAATGCGTAAATAGTGCAGTCTTAGCCCACTTGGTAGATACTGGACACCAGATAAAACTTGACCAGGCGTTCTCAGTTATTTACTGCGTTCCTAGTAATTTATCTAGAGGAGCTTGACTGCGTCTTCTATCAGTAGCTGAAACGGTTTCAATTAATGCCAGAAGGCCAACTCTTTGTATACAGAAGTATGTTCAACCTCTATGTTTACCTTGGCCTACAATAAAGCCAACAAATCCTCCATAAACATTAACACTATAAATTCCTATCACACTTTTCTTTCTTTTCTTCTTCTTCTATTCCTCTGTTTCATTGACAAACGTTCATTTTAGACTTTTACGATTTCATGACCTTTCTTATGATTTTATTACCTTAGGTTTAATTAGTGCTTTTCTAACTTGTTATCGTATTTACAAAATCCTGTTCATTCCACTTCATTATTATTATTATTATTATTATTATTATTATTATTTGATAATCATTCACCAAAAGTACTTGTAATTTACACCGTATCATCGTCATTATTTTACAATCATTCCTATTGTCGTTATTTCAACCTTGAACTTATGTCGTTGGTTTATATTCATATTGTCTCACACCCTGATTACACTCACTCTCGAAACCTGTATTTTCTGTATTGTTCCATCCCATCTTATACTTGTTCCACAATACACTTTCTGATATGATTCTAATTTGCCTTTACTGGCTATTGTATGCTTAAATTAATGGATTTATAATTGTAGAGCCTGAAGAAGAATTTATTGAAAACAATTGTTCGCTCTAAATATTTTGATCTTATTATTATCCACAGCTATGGATTCCATCACTAACAAGTACCAACAAAGTAACATCATGATTATCTCGGAGCATCGTTGAACCGGCGGTACTAGGTACTAGGCAACAGAGATTGAGCATTTCGATCTAGTATCATCAATCAGTACGAAGTTGAAAATTCAACAAATAATAACTGAAATTCAGTGGAATTTCGAACGGTAATATGCTTTGCAATAGTTTACCAACATTTAACACGTTTCAACAAATATTCATTAAAAAAAATTGACACCGCAAATAGAATTTGTATATCGATTGGTCACTACTAGTAACCAGTGTCATGAGTCTAGTCCTTAGTGTTGATGCAGACTGTATTCTACTAGGCTAGTTTTCACAATGCCTCCTCAGTGGTTCAGGCGTAGAATGCTTGCCAACCATGCACACATGGTCTGATGTTCGATCCCCTGTGAACGCACTCCTAAACTTCACTTAGCCGGTAGTAAGATTGTGGGAAAGTGGGATGGTTGTGCATGAGGCTGGCAACTACAAAGCGTAAAAAAAATAACAAATGCTCGTCAAAACTTCAGAAGCCGGCAAAGCTTGAAACCCCATGTTCCACTAGGAACTCAAAGGAATACAATTCTAAGATAATAGTAAGTTTTACAATATGGCCACGGAGCTAGGTGACTCGCTATTGCGGTACAATTTTCAATCGACAGGATTACTGTTGGAAATAATTGATAAAGGATAATTTTACTCAGTATAAGACGCGATGGTACAATACGAATTACTGGATAACGCTTCGAGCACAATTCATTGTTCATAATCATATCAATTCATTCACACGGCTTAATAATTTGCTTTATATATTTTTTCATATCCCCCTCGTTGTTTATTTCAATTTTCCATGTATCAGGTATAGATGTATCATTTCAATTGCACGTGTTTGGTGTTGATTGGATGAATAGAGATTTGGCGATTAATCTCTATCTCCACGTAACTATATTAACTATAACTATATTAATTTTTAATATTTTACTCTATCCATCCCTATTGTGTTGTAATCAAGAAAAAGCCTGGTCATTGTAGCGCATTCCATTTGCTTGTAATCACATAATGGAGAGTGGGATAGATTATTAAAAATATTCAAAAGTAATATTTTTAGGTGGGAAGAGAGATTAGTCACCCACCGAATCTTTATTCACTAAATCAACTCCAAATACATACACGCAGCAGAAAATTACGCAACGCCTATGTTGGATATGTGAGAAATCGCAATGAGAACAACAGGATGAGGTGGAGACTATCTCATCAAGTTGCGTAAATACATTCATATGATTTTGAGTAATGAATTGTGCTCAAAACGCCATCCAGTTATCAGTACTCCGCACCACTGTGTTGTTAAATCAAACAAACTTATCTAATCTTAAGGTTACAGAATATAGTTGATTTTTAAAATATAAGAAAAAATATATTTAACTTCTTTGCCTGGTATTTTTAATTGTTCGTAGGAAAGCAATGATGTGATATGGACAGAAGTGGAATATTGACTATCGTTCAAAATTGACAGACTGACAAATTTTGTTCAACATGTCAAAATAAAATAAAAATAACTTATCGACTTTTTCTGGGTGTAACACAGCACACAATTTAAAAGAATAACCAAAACCAAAAAAAGGGTCATTAGGCATGAATTAGACAAAACAAAAAAACGCCCTGACGACGGAATACTAATCTAACTAGACATGAAGAATTTAGATCCATCGATCAAGTCGGTAGGTTAGGTGAGTGACGCGAAATAGCAGTGGAGAGACGAAGAGTCGGGAAATTTTAGTAGTATTCCACAATAATTCAGCCGAAATCATAGAAAAATTCAACTTTCCAAAACAATGCTGTTTAGTGATTTTCGAGCGCCAACCAAACTATGATTACACACCAAATTTTTTAAACTATTTTGAAAATACCTTTTCTCGTTCTGTTATGTTGGTTAGCAGGGGGCTTAAGGAAACTGAAACGAGCATTAAGAAATCATGGCCAATGGCGGCCATCATTAATTTGAGAACACGCAATTGGTTAATAATTGCAGACTACAGTCGGAAATTTCACATACGATTAACATCCATAGCAAACGTCCGACTGTTCTCTCTCTCTCTCTCTCTCTATATATATATATATATATATATATATATATATATATCTTAAGGCTATATGTATCTATATATCACAAGTAATATGGTTAGCGAAATGTAACCTATGAACGGCGAATCTTACGATAATAAATACGGAGTCAGAATGCAGTTCAAAAGTCATCTCATGTAAAGATGCAAAAAAGTCAAGGCATTTGTTACAAGCATAAATCACGTCAGTCAATGTAAACATTTTCCAATTACGTATCTGCTACTTTTTACGGTTATTAAAACACATATCATTCAAGATGTTGATCTGCGTGAATTCGATTGATGATTTCAGTGTTGGATAACGAAATGACTATTTAGCAATACGCACCCACCCACCCACGCGCAATCCACACCTCGGAATGAACACATAACATTACAGTGACAAGGCGAACCTAGTGAATATTCAACCACTCAGTTGGAATGCAATCGCTCATGAATCCTAACCTCTGTTAATTCGCAATACATAGCACCACTGTCGTTAGTCAGACAATGTCAAGAACTCATCCTCACACTGAATATTACTGAAATGATTAACTACTGTCGTTTTATAGTTGTAAATTAAGCCAGAGAAGAAAAATCTCAACATAAGAGTAGATTTAACGTGCTGAACGTGTGTTTCGCCTCGATAAATCTGTTGATTCCTAAAGAAAACTGATATTCCCTCTCAGATGAGATTTCAGTGACCACCATTCTAAAAAAAGGTCAAGATGGCTATTACAAGGAGCACCATTATTATTCACAGGTATTTCCAGCTGACAGGTTTTCATAACTACGTGAATAAGTGAAACGTTTTGGTGAATATAGATAGACAAACAAGTAAGCGAAACATTCACAACTTCTTTTTAAAAAACATTGAAGATGAAGAAGAATAAATCAACTTACTAAACAAAGAAAACAAGCAGTAAGGACAGCAACTATGGGATTTCCTCGTTTTGTAGTCCATTTCGCTGGACGAAGTACGGGACCTAATCAAAAAAGAAAAGAAAAAATTATAGAAATAAAGCATAACTACTACTATACTATTATAAAAACTTTTAGATGAATATGATCAAAATATTCCACGTTTTAATCGTAACACTGAATTTTAGATGCAAAAACTTATTAAGAATGTTACACTTCTCGAAATTAAAGTAAGTTTATTTTGTTGACTGCATAGATGTGATTGTATGTCCCATAATTTCCCATAATTGTTTACTATTCGTTTCTTGGGCTCCGATTGAAATACAGGAACTCAGGGAAACATGTCTGTTGCACTGAGTTTTCCTTGCCATCACTTTCAATTGGTTTCTCTCCACTGCCCACAAGCTTTCGTGAATTCTTCACATGATCTTCACTATGTCGATCTCAGAAGCTCAACTCGTCGCTTCTCATTCATGTTCCACTTTTGGAGGCCTGGCATGTGATATCATTTAAAAGTCTCCTCAATGGATATCCGTCTGCATATTTGACTGGTATACACTGCTGAAATCAAGCAACCGCTATATACTTTGTACGCTTACTAAGGTTAGTCTACAAAGAACTAAGTTAAACAACTACATTTACTAAAAAAACAGAATAAAATAATTCGAATTTAATTGGTGGATGGTGGGTGACTAGCAGTGGAATCCAGGATGCGCATTTCGTCCTATTCGGGACTCGTCATATGGATGTACCTGCATTCCACAGTGAGTGATGATGTTCCCACCGAGGCTCGAACCCAGTGTCCATAGTTTCAAACGCCAAAGCGCTTTCCACTAGACCACTTACTTGTGCCACGAGAGCCACTTCCTGTGCAACGGGTCATATTAATTATTTAATTGAATTTTAGGTTTTCCCGTCGATTGATTGGACCGAAGTGCTCGGTCTCAGGTTGACATGCCGGCTTCTTGTGCAGATGTTCGATTGATTGGAACTTATGCCTCAGTGATCACTACACAAAATAAAAATTATCCTCTCTCTATCTCGATGTAAGCAGATAACTTAATTGCGAACATTAAATAAGACCAGTAATTTCCAATGGAAAATATTGAGCAATATAAGCGTGATATAAAGAAGAATCGAGTGTAAGACTATACTCAAATTCTTAAAAATAGTTTCCATTGAAAGGAGAAGTCAACTTACCGAATAATTCATCACGAGCCAACGCTTCAATAATTCGTGAGGCTCCTATCAAATTACCCAGAGCAGCTGATAGTGTAGTTGCAAAGACACCAATGACAACAATCGGTTGCCAAAAGCTAATCGACTGCATAAACATATTGTTGTTCAGCAACAGATATCTGTGTAATATAGCAGAATAAATATATATGAATACATTGAAATATTTCTTTAACAAGTGGTTAAAGAATTAGCGTGGTTACACCAACTATTTCCTATTAAGTTAATTAAGGTTTTGTGCGTCGGTGGCACAGCGGTTAGGACGCTCGCCGATCATGCACATAGTCCGGGGTTCGAACCCCGGCCACCGACGCACTCCTTTACCTCGCTAAACCAGCAATAAAAGCTGGTAAAGAGGAAAGGTTGGGCATGAGGCTAGCAACCCCATCCTGTAAAAATAAACACTGCTACAGAAACTTCAAGCCTCTAGCTTGAAGCCCTATGTTCCACTGGGAACGTGAAGGAATAAAATTTAAAAAAATAATTAAGGTTAAAAGATATTTCCTCAAAGCTCCACTGTTCCACAAGTGCATTGAAGTAATACACTAGTAGTGCGAAGATATCCATGCCTCTGTGTAATTATCATTTTCATGCTGTTCAAATCAAACTAAATGAGGGAGAGATTAACTGATATAAAAATAAAACTTGGGCACTGTGGTAGAGTGTAATTCCATTATGGGTAAATTTTTATTTTGATAGAGTCTCACAGTGTTATACAGTAATATTTACTGATGACGTTTCGAGCACAAACTATTGCTCATAATCATATCAAGTTACTCACACAACTTCTTTCCTTCATTTATATACATGTGTGGAATCGACTAGATATTGGAATAAAATTCAATATGAGATAATGTACATTCAGAATGTGTTATTAATCCATTGCAATTAGATGGGAAATACGACGAGTGTTTTTATAGTCATAATAAGTTGATTGTTAGAATGTGTTTGAATGGAAATAGATTATTTATTATCCTCTTCTGATTTGACTGGTGGCAATAATACGAGTGTTATTAATCCATTGCAATTAGATGGGAAATACGACGAGTGTTTTTTACAGTCATAATAAGTTGATTGTTAGAATGTTATGATGTGCTTGAATGGAAATAGAATTTTAAGACTATTTATCATCTTCTGATTTGACTGGCGGCAATAATATCTTCCATATTTCTGGTATTTGCATTGAGTCACTTCTGTTGCATGTGTTGGGTGTAGATTCGATGAACAAAGATTCAGTAATCAACCTCTCTCTCCACCTACCTAGATTACTTTTTAGAATTTTAACCCTCTCCCACCCTATTGTGTGGTTGTGTGTTAATGCATGCATTGCGATTGCCGAGCTTTTTTCTAAATTACTTATCTTCTCTGGGTCAACCATTCTTATCTTAGCTAAATTCTTATGTTCTGACAATCTGACTACCCTTGACCTACTAGTTTGACCTATGTAGTTGACCTCACAGTCATTGCAGGGTATTTTGTAAATTATATTATTTTGTCTAATTGGGTCCACTGGGTCCTTTAACCTACAGAGCTTGTCCCTGAGTGAGTTTGTAGGTTTAAATGGCACCCTAATTCCTGCTTTATTTAGGATCCTACGTAGGGTCTCAGATGTCCCTTCTTTATATGGTATAACTGTAGATGACTTATATTCTCTCTTATTTATTTTATTACTACTAGTTTCACAATTCTTTTTATTTTTCTTTTAGCGTTTTTCAATCTTCCTAATGAATTTTAGAGGATAGTTATTTAAAACCAACGCCTCTTCTATCTGTTTTATTTCATCATTAAGGTCTTTTTTTGTGCTACTTAGTGCCATTGCTCGGTTTGTTAAACATTTAACTAAGCCTGCCTTAACAGTTACAGGATGAGATGAATTAAAGTCTAAATATCTATTAGAATGCGTTGGTTTTCTATAAACACTAGTGTGTAGTTTGCCTTCATCTATTCGTTTTATTTTACAATCTAACATGGCTAATTCTCCTTGCTCATTTTCGGTTTCAAATGTGAATTTTATTCCCTCCACTAGTGAGTTTATGTGTGTCAAGAAGCTAGAGATATGTTCTGTTTTTAACACTGTGAAAGTGTCATCCACATATCTCCACCATATTTTTGGAGTAGGATTAAATGTATTAAGTGCCATATTTTCCCAGCTATCCATAAATAAATAAAAACACTCGTCGTATTTCCCATCTAATTGCAATGGATTAATAACACATTCTGAATGTACATTATCTCATATTGAATTTTATTCCAATATCTAGTCGATTCCACACATGTATATAAATGAAGGAAAGAAGTTGTGTGAGTAACTTGATATGATTATGAGCAATAGTTTGTGCTCGAAACGTCATCAGTAAATATTACTGTATAACACTGTGAGACTCTATCAAAATAAAAATTTACCCATAATGGAGAGATTAACTGTTGCGTAGATTACTTTCGTCCTCCAGCTTTTTTCCTTCATTGATAATATTGTAACAACAGAAGGCAAGACACGGAAACCAAGGTATATTTTCCATTCATCAAATCGCTGTTTATATATATATATATATATAGTTTATATTCGTTAACTAAAAACTGAGCGTGTGATTTAGGTGTACATCAAACAACATGAAATAGAATCTTCAAATACATATAATATTCTTTTGTCAATGCAGTATAATAACCGTGGGAAATGTATTCTGTCTGTAACACCAAATAGAATGTTCAAATAGATATATCGTATTCTGTTGCTACTGCAGTATTGAACTATGGGAATATGTGAGAATAATATTTCGTTGGCATACATTGTGTCTGTATCACACCACCACAATATGACTGTTAAACTCAGTTATCAGTAAAAGGTTCTCCATACGACGGACTACCAACCATACTTATTATGTGGGAATTGCTGATACCACCCAGTTGTCCAGGCTGAGGCAGGTAGAGAGGCATTCAAACCCAGGAAACATCGGCTGCTGTAAGTCGCGTACTTAAAACAGTGTGACACTTCTTCATTCAACTTTGTGGATCAGATAAGAACCAGTGTTTTCAACATGGTATGTTCGCCAACAATGTAACTATGTGTGAGTATTACATGCAGATGACCGATGTAAATACATATATATATTTCACTCCTTGCAACTCCGAATGGAACTTTGGGCTTCATGCTTCTCAATTTTCAGTGGGTTTTTTTCGGGATTATAACCGACTAGTAAGTTAGGCGAAATTGAGGAGTGCGTCGTCCGGGAATAGAGCACAAACCAAGTGCATGCCTGGCGGCGTTCTACCAATGAACAATCATCTTTGAACAGACGATCCTGAATATATGTATTATGATGAGGACCTGCTTAATCATTACACTTTGTATTGCTACAATAAACTATTGTTATTGGAAACCGGGTATTTAACGGATAAAAAATGCACAGCAATCATTTGGCAAATGAATGGCACATGTAGAGCAGTTAAGATGGGATATTTAACACACATACAAACACACACTGCACACCTCTACACAAACGGCTTGAAGATTATCAGCTCAATCAGGAAACAGATGACAGCTCGAAGGAAATTCAGTCTCTGAAGAGACCATGTTAGATTATCAAAATGATTAAAGTCCCGTGATCCTACTGGCCAAGATGACATCCTACTATAACAAGATGTAATATGGTGTTGACCTGAATGACCTGAAAAACTGAAGATCTTCAGTTCACTTAATAATTTAACTAATCATATAGGTAGCAGCAGCCTACATAAAATACTTAAGTGGTTGATATGGAAATCAGACAGTTACACAATGGTACACTCTTAAATTCTGTAGACCCCAAAATGCTAAGTTTAAATGGTTTTTAAGAGTAACGAAATGTAGTACACAGAATAAACTTTTTTTCTATTAATTAGAAATACTGTTTTTCGTTCGAAAAAAAAAGAAAGAAATCCAACTGAACAGAAATGCTTTCTTACCTACTGTTTGAAGCGGCTAAGAAAATGATCATAATAAGATAAATTAATGCTGTACACAAAAGCGCCGACAGTGTACCCAAAGGAATTGATCGAGAAGGATTCTTCAACTCACCTATACGAAATACAATGAACAAAAAAGACTTTTGAATGTACCTCTATAAGAGAATATATATTTGAAGTTGAAAACACGTACTGAGAAACTATGACATAAGAATGATAACAAGTTGACACGGTCACTATTTTTGTTAATTACATAATGTAAGCATCAATTAAAAACGCATCTGTTGTTTGTAATCGCTACCATTTCTGGGGTCAATATTAACTGGTTGATGATGATAAACTAGAGTGAGTTTGTTATATTATCAGTTGTTAGTTGAGTGATAGAATAGTCACCAACCATGCATGCGGACCAGGGTCCGATCCCCTGCTAACGCACTTCTAAACCTCACCTCGTTGGTAAAGAGGGGATATTGCCACTGGGGCTGACAATCTTACTGTTGAAAAACAAAATCTTTACTAAAAATCCGAAGCTTAAAGCTTGAGCCCCCTTGTGTTCCCCTCAGAACGCGAAGGAATAAGAAAAACCACCTACTACATACAACTAAACTTTTTAATTTTGCATTCACACATACAAAGTCAATCTGGTGTATTTCACGAATTCAGTTACGACTGACGATTTATTATCATCCCAGCTGTCTCTGTCCGCAGTGATACGACTACCACCATGAAGGAGAAAAAAGCGGCTTTTGCTTGAAAATTTGAAAACTGTTTCAAAACAAAAGACAAAATTGTCTGGGAATAACTGGAAAAGACTAGAAATTTATTCTAATTTATATTGACCAACCTAGCAACATGTTATTTTATACTGTCATATTTTAAAAAGTTTGGACAAATACAGGGCGAACAATTATATGGCGGAAGACCGACCGCCGTATGGTAATTCAATTTTTTCTCCGATACTGATATACAGATAAAGTAGCAGTATCAGCCATCTAGTGGCTTCCAATAAATACACTTGTTCTACTGCATATTATATTCATCGATTTTCGCAAAAACAAGATGATGGATAGATATACACCTGAAGATATATAAGTCTGACACAGCTAACTGATAAATCACAATGTTTTGTTTAGACTATATATTTAGAACAAATCCACTACCTTTGGAATAAATATAGATTATATATATATATATATATATATATATATATATATATATATATATGTAAATGTGGAGAGGGAGGGAGAGGCAGAGAATTTATTTTTCCGATGTAGTCACGTTTGACACGATACATAGTATGTGAGAATTCACAGCAGACACTTAACCGAAATGAGACTGAAAATTAATGTTGTTACAATACATATGTATATTATATCCATCAATAAATAACCAAAACTATGCAGTATATTACCATACCGGAGACATTTGCACCATTCATTATTCCTGTTACACCAGAGAATAGCACAGAGAAAACGATCACAAATGATGTCACTGAGCCAGTAGTATAATCAGTAGAATACATAGCTACATGATAAATGCGAAAAAAAATATTAAGAAAAAAAGAGAGAAACTTAGATAATTAATTCAAAATAATATATAAAAATAACAAGACTGTTAGTTGAATTTATATGCTCGAACGAAAAATTGCATAGCTGAGAAATTTGTCTCTTTTCCTCCTGAAGGAAAAGAATTCAGACAAACAGTGTTGTGCACAATGAAGAGTGCTTCGTTTGACTATATAATGTCATAAGCAATACAAGATAAAGGAGGAAAAGCAACCAGTTGTGAAAAAAATGTGATTCAGTCGCTAGCTCTGATGATATACATTCAGTTTTGTTCGTCAGTCAAACTGACACTTTTTACAAGATTTTCATCGTGAGCTGACATTAGTTAGAGAACCATTGGAAAACCTGGGAGTACTGGACAGCTGTTTCATCCTAGTTTGAGACCCTTCAGTAGTACGCACCCACCGGGATTCGAACCCAGGGCTTTTTGGTTTACAAGGCGAGCTCGTATACCATTAAGCCACTGGGACCCGATCCAATGGCCCATGAATTCTAACTTCTGCCACTTTTTACTTTCATCAAAGAAGATTTCACCACCGACGAGAAAACCAAGGAGAAGTGCACAGCTATCTCACTCTAGTTTGAGATGCCTCAGAGCATTGAGCATTCAAAATCCTACCATCGTTAGAAACCGAAACCTTAAGGTTACGCGGTCACTTAGTTTACCATTCAGTAGTCACTAGAAGAACGGAATTCTATGACCAATTTGTGAATGATCAACGAACCAGCCTTGTAACTGTAAGTGCTAGATATCCAGCCGTGATAGGTATGCTCTGCTGAGGAGTCTCGAAACAGAGACAGATAGCTGTCCAGTGCCTCTTGGTTTCCAACGAAACTATAGCTGATGTTAGTTTTTGACGAAATCTGCATCGAGATCAATCCGAATCGGTACAAAACCCATTATCTGATCAGATTAGAAGAAAGTCAGCTGTAATAAAGGCGAAGCACAAAACTCCCACAATAACGGAATGGTGTCCCACAAATCCTAAGACCAGAGGTTATAATTTTGCACAACCAAAATATTTCGGGGTTAATAACGTCTTTCTAAAAGGAGTGAATATGCATCACAACACACGCATCCTGAAGCATTATCATTATATTATTCCTTTGGGTTCCAAGTGGAACACAGGGGGGGGGGGTTAGCTGTGCATCTCCATTTCATTCTTCAAGCTGGCTCCACAATTGCTCACAAACTTTCATTTCCTGTTCACACGATCTCCTCCACGTCACCACCTATGAAAGCAAAAGTAAGTATGGGGACATGGATTGTCCACAGGACGACACATCCTTGATAGATTTCCAAAATTATCATAGTTGAATAAATACTGAATCGTAAAACCAGACAAGTTCACTTAGCCTTACTACTACTTCCTAACAAATGGTTATACAGTCTCATACTATTACATTGATCTGGTTGTCACACTGTTAGGATGAACAACCTATCGTCGTTAGCCATGCGTTATGATTGATGCATGCACTGACTTGATAACCTGATTGGACGGTCTCCGATTGATTGATTTTCGGAGGATCTTCAAGGTCATGCAATCAATTTATGGTTTAAATTAACGTGGATGCTGTGTAAACGATGTGTATCCTCGACAACCAACAGTCACGTTTACTATATAAAAACGAGCATCACACACAGTTGTTTTACTTAGCCAGACTTTTATTTAAAAAAACACATATAAACCAATGGAGCAACAACAAGCTTGTAACAGGTAAGCAGGCAATGAAAATAAGTTTATAAAACACTGCATAGAACGGGTGCAGCGCATTATTAATGCGACCTAAACGCCTAGGATTGCTTACTACTAAGTAATGCCCTCGAAATGTTCAACAAAATCAGTGTGAAAGAATTACATAACAACAATGATTTGCTAGAAAAATGCAAAGACAAAACAACAATCACACTCATTTCTGAATTTCCTTAGATAATATGCTTATATATATATGTATATATATATATATGTATATATATATATATATATATGTATATAAACACCACCAACAGCAACAACAACAACAGACAACAATCAGCATAAATGAAAGGAACCTGAAAGAAACTACCTCCTTTACCTACCTGGGAAGCATCGTTTCAACTACAGGCGGACGGAACTGACGAGGATATTAAAGCAAGAATCGGAAAAGCAAGACAAGCTTTCACTACTCTCAAGTCTGTGTGGAGGTCAACAGCACTCAGCATGAAGTGAAAATAAGATCCGGATTTTCAACTCCAATGTGAAGTCAGTCAGTGCTACTATATGGATCAGAGACTTGCACTGCGCGTCATAAAGAGCATCTCAAACAAACTACAGACCTTCATTTACAGTTGTCTTCGCTCAATACTCAAGATCAGATGGCCAGCCGGAAAAGATCAGCAACAGAGAGGGATCTCTGGCAATGAGCGAACCAACCAGGAACCGATTGTGAAACAAATAGGCAGGAAGAAATGGAGATAGATTGGCCATACTCTGAGGAAACCATCAAGTGACATCACTAGACAAGCCATTGCTCGAGTGGAACCCGAAAGGGAAGCGGCGAGTTGGTCGTCAGTGCGAGGGTGACTTGGAGGAGGTCATGTGAAGAGGAGATGAAAACGTGTGGGCAGACATAGAGCCAGGTGAAGACCGAACGCAATGGAGACGCACGGCTGAAGCCCTATGTTCCTCTAGGAATTAAAGGATACAATAATTATAATAATAATATATACATATACTTCAATAATAATGATAACGTTGATACTTACGTAAAATATTTTCTTTCAGTGTATCACCATTTAAGCTAGTGAATTTAGCATAAGCTGTAACATTGTTTGGTACTGTTGAATTATAAATAAGTGTATTAGATCTTGGCAATGGTATCAATTTTGGTTGAAGAAAGAAACTGGCGAATACGCATATGATAACTATAACTACAACCTGTTAACAACAAAATTGAAAAATATATATATAAATATAT